TGGGACTCAAGCGGGAGAGGGCCGTACTTGGGTGCGCCCGGGGAGCAATGGCCGGGGCCGGTGGCTGCCCGGGGGAGTGCCGCCAGGTCCGGCACCAGCAGCGCTGCCGTTGCCGGCGGCTCCAGCAACTGATGCCATATTTTTGGGATCGGCCGACCTTAGATTCCTGTTGCAACGGCAGGGTATCGAGGATGATCATTTGCGCAAGCTTTTCACTGCAGGGGTAGACTCCCTGGACAAATTCAGTGCTTTTGCGACGGGGGAAGCTGATCTTCTTTCGGTGTTGAAAGATGAGTTCCGTCTGGATGCTTCAGCAAGCTTGGCTGCACGAGGGCAGGTGGCCTCGTTCATTGCGGCTTGGAAATCTGCAAAGGTCATGGTGCAGCGTCAGGCAGAGGTCGAGGCGGAACAGGACACTCGGGAGCTGATCAAGCCGGTGCCTACTTCAGAGTGTCTGCTCTTACGGCAAGCTTATGTCAAATCTTATGGCACCTTGGATGAAAAGGGCCTGCCTTCCAAAGAGTATCTGGAAAAGAAATTGTTAGAGGTCGAACGCGGGGGGTTCAAACCGGAGTCATTGCAGGAGGTCACTGCGCGGGATGAGCTGGATCCTGACACACTCATTCCTGTCTGGGATTCAAAGGGGCAGATGACCGTTGAGCGGGGGACTTCAAGAGTGCCCCTACCTTCGAACCCGGAGGAACTTCGTCGCAGGTTGAATATCATGCGCAACGTGTACCTCATGCTCCGCCTGAAGTTCCCAGGACGGGCCGACCTTCAGGATCTGTCTCCAGAGATCTTTGAGCGCTACAAAGAATATCTGCTAGGAGATTATGTCCACAATCTGCAGGCACGTGACTCTGCTGACAATGTGGTGCATACCTTTCCTGGCAGCTGGTTTTGGCGTATGAACAGGCCGTTAGGAAACAGGCTTTCCACTACATGGTCCTCGACTCGATGGGTTTCGCGGCGGCATTGGAGAAGGCGTGGAAGGATCCTGTCACGAAAGAACGACATTTTTCTACACCTCTTTCATTGTACTCCAAACGCAAGCCAGCTGATGTCGGCATGCCCCCGCGGGACACTTGGATTCCTCGTGTTCCAGGAAAGGGACAGAAAGGCCAGAAAGGCTCAAAAGGCCGGGGTCGGGGGTCCAAGGCTTTCAAGGGTCATGCGGCAACTCGTTCCGGGGAGCCAATCTGCTTCCGCTTCAACACCGAGGAGGGCTGCAGCTTGGCAAATTGCAAGTTCAAGCATGTTTGTAGCCACTGCTTCGATTCCAATCATAACTTCGTGGGATGCACAAAGCGCAAGCCGGCCGATACTGCCGGCAGACACTGACTTGGAACCGACGGTGGTGTTTCGTTTCACGGGGGCGAACTTCGGGTGCTTTACCTGTTCTGCGGCAAACCACGCAAGCAGTCACTGGAAGCTTGGCTTACCAAATTAGCACTTACATATGGCATTCCACTGAAGGTGGAGTCCGTGGACATCACTCGGAAACCTTTTCTTGATTTGTCAAATCTTCAGACGCAAAGTTCTTTTCTTGAACGGATTCGGGCCGGGTACTACTTTGCTGTGGTTCTTAGCCCTCCCTGCTTTACCATTAGCAGGGCACCGTGTCGCAACCGCAAAGGTCCGCGGCCTGTCAGGTCATTTGAACATCCGGACGGGCTCCCGCACCTGCGCTGGGCCGAGCGATGCAAGGCGCGCCTGGGCAACAACCTCGCCGATTTCTCCTTGCAGGTTGCAGCTGCCACGTTGGACCTGGAACACGCCTTTCTCCTGCTGGAGCAACCGGACTTGGGTGCAGTGGCCACCGGTTCTCGCCCATCGTCGATGTGGCGGCGGGCTCTGTTTGATGCTATCAAGAATCATGCGGCAGCTCAACATGTGGCTTTTCATCAGGCTGAGTTCGGGACCCCGTATGCGAAACCTACTCGACTTCTTCTCCGTACTTCGCGGCCGCTTCACGATTCTATGAGTTCGGGTCTCCCGCGCTTCGATCAGGCCGGGTTTTATCAGGGGCCGCTGGCTCGGCATCCCACTGCTGAGTCCATGCAACATCGACGACCTGCACCCTTCAGTACCACTGGCGCTGAGCAGTGGCCCGGGCCTTTCTGTCGGTGGGTTGCACACTGCATCCTCTCCGACTCCGGCTCTACTGCTGGTGATGGGGGTGCGGGAAACGCTGAGCCGGCGGCGGAGATGATCATGACAGAGGAAGAGATCATGGATGAAGACAAGATCTTCCGATTCGAACCGATGGTTCACTCTGGGGACCATGACAAGCTGGGGGATCTGGAGAAGCGAGCGCTGGGATTCCTCAGGCGGGGTTATGTCACGGAGGAGGACTTACTGCTGCTTTCGGAGCAACTTCCGGACGAGACAAGGATTCGGGAATCGGCAACCAAGGTGGAGGGTCAGCGCTCCTTTACCACAGGAGCCTTCATTCACCAAGATGTGGTGGGATTGAGGCGGAACCTCAGGACCTACAAGTGGATCAGCGAGTTGTTGGCGAGGGTTATGTCCTCTTCTTTTCCGGGGAGGAGCTTTACTTCGTTGGCGCTATTCAGGGATCTGATGCAACCGCTTCATCGGGACTCGACGAACGGGCCGGAGGAGAATCTGCTCTTGGCATGTTCCTCCTTCCAGAATGGTGGGCTTTGGGTTCAACGCGAAGGAGGCCCAGTCAAGCGATGGATCTTCGGCAAGGAGGTGGACGGAGAGATTCTGGAATGGAAAAGGGGGCGGATCACTTTTGATGCCCATCGCTGGCACGCTACGGAGGGGTTCTGGCGGGCTACACGGTGGCGAGAGCAGAATCCTTGGGTGCAGGGGATCGTGAGATCCTCGTACAGTTCGGATTTGGCTTGGGGCAGCACAAGCCGCCTCATCCGGAGCCGGAATTGGACCCCACCTGGCCGCCGACGCCGGGCAGCGATGGGCCGGCGTGGGTATGTCAGGAGCCTTGCAGAAGCCGTCCCTTTCACGACGGCGCAAAGCTGTGCTCACCAGAACATTGGGGGGCTACACGGTGGCGAGAGCAGAATCCTTGGGTGTAGGGGACCCGGGCAGCACAAGCCGCCTCACCTGGAGCCGGAATTGGAACCCACCTGGCCGCCGACGTCGGGCGGCGATGTGTCAGGAGTTTTGGGGAAGCCGTCCCTTTCACGACGGGGCGACCCCGAGGTCCGGAAATACTGCGAGGCCTCTGGCTGGGCGGAGCTGGAGGAGATCCTTGTGGTGCGTGCGGGGGGGATCGGAGAAGCTGGACAGAGTCCCTTTTGAAATGGCCGCGAAAGGGGAGGATGGATGTCGCCTGGTGTCCGATCCCGCCCTACATGAGAAACTCCAGAAGGCCTTGATCAATCATCTTGAAAGAAAATCACGGGGTCTGAAGGACTTGAACTTCGTGGATCCAGGTCAGCCCTTCCGGTTACGACTTATATTGGCGTTGCTTCGAGATGCCTCGGACCCGGATTGGAAGGTTTTCTTGGACGGGATTGAGGGTTTTCCGGTGGGTGTAAAGCACGCTCTTCCTAGAACGCGGGATGTCTTTGAGCCTCAAACGAAGTGGAAGCTCGAGATGGGTCCGCTTGATGTGGCGCGGTCCTGGAAGGCTAACTACGAGTCTGCGGAGGAGAACCTCAGTTTCGTGCGCGAGCACTTCGAGGCTGAGGTCGAGGAGGGGCTCATGATGCGAATGGACGAGGAGGCTTTCTGGAAGCATTATGGTGATGAGGCGGCGGTCTTGGCGATCGCGGTGATCGTCGAGGAGGGTCCGCCGGTGAAGAAACGTGTGGTGCACGATGCATCTCATGATGTCCTCCTTAATCACAGAATACGATGTCTTGACAAAGTTCGATCTCCGGGGGCCAGGGAGAAGCGCTACCTTCTCAGGAAACTCCGAGATGGGAGGATGGCGCCGATGGCAAGGCTCGTACTTGTGGACTTGTCCACTGATGTTTTGCATTTGGAAAAACGGTTGCCTTTCCTTCTTGCAAAACTGGAAAGTTTTCCGTATTCGCTTTTGCCAGTGCCTGCGTCAGCTTGCTTCAGCATTTGCCTTGGATTTCACCGCCTCCTGGCATTCCATTTTGGATCAAGTTGCGGCGAAGTCGCTTCGCAATTTTGATTTTGGGCCTCTCTAGAGTCCTGTAAGTGCTGTCTAACAGGTTCCGGGGGCTAATTCCAAGGCTTCTAGCTCCTCGCGGCCTGGGTAGTGCGATCGCCCCCTGCAGGGGGGGGTGCATGGCAGGCAGCTCTTGCCTCTCTTGAGTGAGCCGTCATTCTTGCGTGGTGTCCAGAGCTGAACTTGAAGAGTTCCGTCAGTACTTTGAGTGCTCCCTTCTCAGCTTGGTTCGCGGCGCCTCCTCTGAAGCCAGGAAGGACGTGGATAGTGCTAGGACTGACTTCACTGACGCATTGCAATCCTTCAGGGACGACACTCTCGAGGCCCTGACAGCTCTACACGAGCGCGCCGACACCTTGCTTGAAAATCAGTATAGACTTCAGGCCCAGTTTGTGATTTTGCAACAGCGCATCACTTTGCTTGAGGGTGTACCGGATTGCACACGAGCCGAGCTGCACAGACGAGTCGAGTTTTCTTGATTCCTTGGATTAGACTGTTTGCCCGGCGACATGTCTGCCAGGCCCACAGACCCCGATGACAGATCTCGCTCTGGTAGGTCGCGTGGCGGCCCATATGCTGCTCCTGTGCTGCCTGCGTTGGCTCTAGGCCTAGTCCCCCTCCCTCTTTCGGGTCTCTTCGGTTTAGGCTCGCGCCGCCCCTCCCCGAACCGGGCATTCCTTGCCCGCCTGTGAATGGGCATGTGCATTTGAGGCCACCGGCATTGTCGGCCCGTCCGGCTCCTTTCGCACCGCCATTCCAAGCCTCGCCTGAACTTCAGGCCGTGTCCCTACCGCCCAAATCGCAAGGAGTGGTGGGGTCAGTATCGAACAAGCGCCCGCGCGCCAGCAAGCAAGATGGTCGCGGGATGCAAGCCATTCGGGCCCACTCGGCAGCTTGCTCTCAGGTGGCTGTGAATCTCATGTTGCAGCTTCTTGCCTTTTTGGGGTCTGAGTCCAGCTTTTTCTCAGCCATCCAATCAGCAGTACATTTCGATGCACACGTGCGCCGTGTCCTGGCTGGTTTTGCCGCAACGACAGTGATCAGGTACATCACTACCTTCAACTCCTTCGCCAAGGCTTGTGAGGACTTAGATGTGTGTCTTCTTGAGATTACTGCTGTGCAAGCGGCCGACATCTTGGTCACTTTGCAGCTTCAAAGGCAGGAAGATCCGACTGTCGGCTCATCGGCGATCACTTGCATCAAAGCTGTGCGATGGGTTTACAAGAACACCCAATGCATCGTGTTTGAGGTTTTCTATGGCGAGCTGATTTCATCCTTCTTGAAGACCAAACTGCTTAAGGACCGCAGGGAGAGCTTGCCCCTGCCGCTGTTTGCTCTTGTGCAGTGGGAACGGCGCATCCCTCAGCGCTCCACCCCATTGGTGGACGTCGTGCTGCTCGGTGCCTTTCTCGTCACATGTTGGTCGAGTCTTCGTTTTGCTGACAGCCAGCGCATTGAATGGAGCTCATTTGCCTTCGTGGTTTCGCTTCGTGCCATCGCATACCAGACGAAAACTTCGCATCAGGGCCAGCCCTTCGGCCTAATCACACAAGGCTTCTTGCATCATGGCTCGCATTCCTGGGTGGCCAAATGGCTCCGTGTACTTGATTCCATCGCTTCGCAGGAGGTGCGCGACTTTGGGGTTGCTCCTTGTTTTCTTAACAGAATGTTCAATTTTCCCTCATGCCCAATTTACCACAAGTTTCACTGCGTATCTCCGTAGGTCAAGCGTAGGCTCAAGACAGCCTGACAGCAGAGCGTAGCGTGAGAAAAGATTCAGAAGCTCGCGCCGTGCTGTAACAAGGATACTGGTTTAAGGGTTTAAACTTTCATGGTAGCGGAGCTGTTGGCAAAGGCCAGCAGCTAACGGGCCTGGGGCTCTCAACTTGCTTTTCGACAAGGTTCAAGGCCCCCACAATCCCAGTTTTAGCCTTCTCTCTGAGCCATAGCGCCCCTGACTTGGGCGTGGCTCCCACCCCTTGCTTTTCGCGTGGCCGTAGTGGATCGGGCTCGCCCTCCACCAGGACCGGCCTGAAGACAGCAAGGAAGTGGGCTATCACTCCTTCACAGGTGCGCTTCTGGGACGTGACTGCCACTCCCAAGCGCCGTGAGCCGCATCTGTCCTTCTGCCGTGCAGGGTTTAGGGCTCTTTAAGGTTGCAGAACCCTTTTCGTCCCCTTCCTGGACAGTAGCTGGTGGTGTCTAGGGGCCTGGAGGCCGCGCCCCTCCCTTTCAGCTGCTCGGACACGAAGTGGGCAAGGAAGGGCGTTTTGCTTCTGTGCACTGCTTAAGGGCTCAGGCGCTGCCTGCGGCAGTCGCTGCCCTCTGCCCGCCCTTTTAGGGTCCCAGCACGTGCGCAGTCTCACACCGGTTTTCTTTGGTTCTGTTTCAGTTCTTTCTCCTCGGCCGCCCTGGCAATGAGGATTGAGCTACGGCAAGGAGGAACCCCTCCTCAGGCACTTTCAAGGTCTATCTGCCTATCCCTTAGGCGATGGCCTTTAGGAGGGTTCTTTGTTAATACGCCTAGGTCTGTGTGGGTGCTCCCCCTGCAGTCCCTTTATCGCGTCACCGCCCTGTGTCCTGCCTACGACACACCGTGGCGATGAAGCTACTGCTGCTATCCAGGCTATTAGGGATGTGTTGCCTCCCACTCCCTGGCCTCCTTCTGGAGGGTGGCGTTTTCTTCGGCAGTTAGCTTTTGTACAGCGCTCCCTGGTGCTTTGCACTGCACTGTGCTCGGTATCAGGGATGTCCGCCTGGTTGGCCTCTTTAGGCTCCGCAGGCCCCTGGCCCAATGCAGCCCTAATTCGTCTGCAGGCACGTGGGCCCCGCGCCACCTGTTAGGAAGATGAGGGGCAGCGTCGTCCCTGCGCCCTGTTGAGGGGAAGCGTTGGCCCTGCGCTTTGTTGAAGGGCGTGGGCGGTTAGGGTTGCTTTCGGGTTACCCCTCCGGGGTACGGTGTGCCCGGCGTCGCTCTCGTGTTGTGTCTGTTTTCCCGTGGTGGTTTTCGCCTGTCAGGGTTACTCCGCGGGCGCCTAACGTCAGGGCTGGCCTGTTGCGGCACTGCCCTTCCTCGAGGCGTGTGGCGTGGGGACACCGGTGCGTAGCGGTGGTTAAGAGATTCGCTCAGGCGGGTCTCGACCACTTCATCCTCCAGCTTTGCTCGGAGAGCTTCTGGTTGGTTGTCTTTCACCCGGTTCTTCTCAGCTCAGCACGAGTTCGGCTCAGGTACTTCCCTGCTCCGTAAGAGCGCGAACACGGGAGCCTCCTGTTCTGCTCTGCAGGGGACGGCCTCTCTCCTTGGGACGTGTAGCACTCCCGGTGAGGACGTGTCTCACTCCTCTGATGTGCAGCTCTGCGGGACGGGACGCTCCCTCCCGTAGCAGAGCAGGGACGCTTTACGCTCCCTTAGGACTGTTCGCACTCCTTAGCACATCTGGGACGAGGTTGCTCTCCCGTAGGACTTAGCTCCCTTTTTCCGCCTGCGGGCGAGACTGGACATTACTCTTCGGAGTGTTGGTCGCCACCAAAAGGAAAAGGAAAAGGAAAAGGAAAAGGAAAAGTTCGCAACGTCCAAGAGACAGGCGAGGAAGAATGGTATGAAGAGCAACCAAGTTCTTCTACACAGGCACAAGCAAAACCACCGCAAGGAGCAAAAGGAAACGAGCAAGTGCGTAGGTTGGTGACAACACCTATGCCAGTGATTGAAGAAGTGTTCGGCGATGATGAAGAGTACGTCGATCTTGTAGGAATGTTCGAAGAGATGGTGATGGACTATGCTGCAAGGACAGTAAAAGTCAACACAGTCATTTTCATGTCAAGCATGGTTGATGAAAGTGATGAAGAAGATTATGAGAAGGATGAACTTCACAAGTGGTATGAAGATCTGCAAGTGGACAAGCAGAATGCCAAGCATGCAAGAGAAAGGGAAAGACTTTTCGGAAGTGTTCAAGATGAAGAGCCAGAAGTGCATCGAGTAAGAGCTATTAACTCAAGCTACTCAGAACTCGTGGAAGTCGTGGTAGATAGTGGAGCGGATTGTCATGTACTTCCGCTATGCTACTACAGCGAAGACTTAGGAACAGTTGAGTTCCCAGCTTTGAGACTGGTCATTCAAGATGCTCAAGGCAACAGGATAAGAACCACTGAAACAAGAGCGAACATCACATTCGAATTTCAAAGGACAGATGGAAGAGTGATAAAGGTAAGAGATTCAGCTGTGTTCGGAGATGTAACACAACCGCTATTTGCAGTAGGCAAGTTGTGGAAAGTTGGATGGGGACTTGATCCTCTAGACCAGTTCAATGCTTACCTGAAGAAAGGTTCAGCAAAAGTGCCAGTGAGGTTTGCAAGAAACTCAACAGTGACAGACCTCAAGATTTACAGAGCTCAAGTGAAAGCTGAAAGTGATGAACCGCAAGTGAAAAAGCTTACATTGATCAAGCAGATGGAAGATGATTTCGAGAAGATGAAGTATCATCAAGGATGGTTTTTCATGTCAGATGGGAAGCCAGCAAGGATCGATTACGACAAGTATGTTACATATGACCCCACATATGATGATGTGAAAGCGTTCAAGTTCAGGACTACTTTGGTATCGAGGTACGATGGTGATAACATCGTATGGAGCGAACTGGAGTTTGTGGAGTGCGCTGAAAAGTGGGAAGACCGAGAAGAGATTGCGATAGATGCAGTTGAAGAGAACTCGGTGATCATCACGATCTTGGAGAGAAAGTCTCTAGGACTTGAAGAGTATGGTGAGTATGAAAGAACAGCTTCAAAGAAGAAGTTGAAGCAGCAGACGTGGAGATGGAGATTCACAAAGAATTAAGAGACACAAAGAAGAACATAGAACAAGTTGAAAAGGAAGCAGCTGAAGCAATGGAGAACCTGTTTCCAAGTGAACCGCCTGCAGAAGAAGATATGAAAGAATGGAAGAGGATTGAAGAGCAACTGCCAAGGTTAGGAGAAAAGATGGAAGAAGCGATGATTGTGGCAGGAGTTGAACTCAGCCCAGAAAGCTCACTCAAGGAGATGAGAACAGCATGTGAATTCCTGAAGATAGGAAAGACCGGAAGCAAGACTCAGATATGGCAAAGGTTGAAGCAAGCTATTTCGGCAAACAAGATGAAGGAGTTGGTTGAAATCTCCAAAGGACTAGAACTAGAGTTTACAAGAGAACCAAAAGGAGAAAAGAGACCAGAAATGCCAACTGAAGAAGAAAGAAAGAAGCATGAACTGACACACCTACCAAAAGCTGATTGGTGTGAAAGCTGTCAAGCAACGAGATCAAGAGAAGACAATTTCGATGTATCTGAGAAGAAGAATGAAGCATCACTAGTCTCAATGGATTTCAAGTTCACTGGAACTCGGGATGAAGAAAACACAAAAGACAACAAAGATGCATTGACAATCGGACTTGTGATGGTTGATGAAGCAACAAAGTTCGTACATGTCATTCCAGTAGCGACAAAAGAAGTGACGGCATATGTTGTTGAAGAAGTTTGCAGAGTGCTTATGCTGTTAAGTTCTAAGGTCATTCTGAGAACTGACACAGAACCAGCAATGATTTCGCTGAGAAAGAAAGTGCAAGGGATACGAAAGATGAAGAATCTTGATACAGAGATACAAGATGTAGCACCAGATGAACACCAAGGATTGCAAGTTGAAAGATGGGTTCAAACAGTTCGGAACTTATCCAAGACATTGGTGTATGGAGTTGAATCGCAAGCGAAAGTGAAGATTACTTCGGAAAGTACGCTGTATCCATGGGCAGCAAGACATGCAGCATTCCTGCTGAATAGGTTTGTTGTGAAGAAAGGATCAACACCTTTTGAAGTGTTATTCGACAGAGAGTACAAAGGAACATTAGCGCCATGGGGAAGCGTAGTATTGGCGAAGCCCGTACCAAAAGTCAAGGAAAAGGGAGAAGCATGGAGAAAAGGAATCTTCGTTGGAAAAGACTCGGTGAACAACCTGAATTTGATAAGCACAAGACAAGGAATCATCAAGAGCAGAACGATAAGACAGTGTACGCCACTGTATGACGTCGAAGTGCTAGCAGAAGCAACAGGAACACCGTGGAACTACACGCAGGACATGTTGGTAGGAAGAAAATCGACGAAGAGATTGCCACCGCACAGTGGAATCGAGATAGCAACTGGTGATAAGCCAGAGTTGGTTCCAAGGAGAGAAAGAAGTCAAGAGCAAGAAGATGAATTGAAGGATTATAGCCCAAGCCAAGAAGCGGCATCTGATCCGCCAAGTGAGACTGAACAAGACATGGACGAAGATCCAGGTGAAGGACATCCAGGATCAACAAGCAGCAGTTCAAGCAGTCGTGGAAAAGGAGTCACGAGAAGAAGAAGCGAAAGAAGTGATGAATCTGACGAGCTGATTACAGGAGAAAATCCACCGCCAGCATCGCCAAAGAGGAACCTTGAAAAAGGCGAGCAGCCAGAAGCGGTGAGACAGAAGATAGACGAAGGAACAACGCAAGTTGAAGAGAGGCCAGAGAAGTTTTTGGCCAAAGGAGATGAATCCTCGGGACAAGCATCAAGTTCGGTAAGAAGAGTTATCGACACGAGAAGCGTGAAGAAGATAGAACCATTTCTAAGGAAGGAACTTCCGCAATATCACGATGATGAAGAAGTCGAGTTGGAAGAATTTGAAGAAATGGAAGCAGAGTTTGATGAAGAAGAAGAATGGCAAGAATCAGATGGTGAAGAAGAGATACCAGAAGATATGCCAAAATGGTCGAACGATTTCGAAAGCGGACCACCAAAGTTAGCAGATGAAGAAATGGAGAAAGTCGAAGGAGTGTCCAAGAAGCACGAATTGGAAAGACTTGAGAAGATGAAAGTGCTGAACAAGTTGCCAAAAGGAACAGACGTTTCAAAGTACAAGTTTCTGTCAGCAAAGATAGTGTACGATTGGAGGCACAGGGACAAAGAGTGGAGAAGAAGAGGACGATTGGTAGCAAGAGAGTTCAAGTGGTTAGGTGATACAGACATTGCAAGTTTGTTTTCGCCAACCGGTGTAGCAAGCACAGTGAAGCTACTATCAGCCCTGTTCGCATCTTCAGAAGGGTACACACTAGGCAGTATCGATGTTGGTGACGCCTACTTAATGGTAGAGCAGGAAGAGCCGACGATTGTTGAAGTCGATGGAGAAATTTATGAACTAGGGTATACGTTACCCGGGCAACGAATCGGAAGTGCAGCTTGGTTCGGGAAGCTGAAAAGCTACCTAGAAGAGTATGGGTTAGCAAGTGATAGTGGACTCCCGGCACTATTCTCAAGGAAGCCAGACAAAGAAGGATTCGGAATAATCGTGCTAAGTCATGTAGATGACATGGAGCTATACGCATCAAAAGAAGAATTCAAGAAGTTGGCCGAATTCCTAAGAAGCAAAGGATTGAAGATCAAAGTTGAAGGACCAATGGATGAGAATGAAGGATCAATGGGTTTCCTGAAGAGAAGTTTCAAGTCGATGGGAGATGGAAACGTAGAGATCACGATGAACTCAAAGTACATTGAAGGACTGGTAGAAGTGCTCAAGTTGGAAGGAGCATACCCGAAGAAACTACCGTGTCCAGCAGACAATGGAAGATCGTTTCAAACAAAAGAAGGTGGAATGGAACCGCTGAGTACAGAAGATCATCACACGTTCAGAAAAAGGAGTAGGAATCTTACTGTATCTCGCGCCCGAAAGGCCAGATATCATGTATGTCTTGAAGAAGCTGTCAACAAAGCTCGCACCACCCGTTGAAGCAAACATGGAACTGCTAAGGTACGTTGGAAAGTATCTCAAGGGATCACCAGAGTTAGCGTTGGTACATCAAGGAAGTTACCCAGGAAAAAGTTTCCTCGAAGTGAAGAACAGAAGCGATGAAGGAAACGAAAGGGACAACTACAAAGTGCCAGCACTCATAGAAGTGATAAGCGACAGTGACTGGGCAGCAGATCGAGAGTCAAGACAAAGTGTTTCATGCGGAGTGATCATGGTGAATGGAAACCTGATTCATTTCCAAAGCAAGAGGCAGAAAAGCGTAGCATTGTCATCTTGCGAAGCTGAGACAATCGCAGCGACATCAATCTTAAGCGAAGGAGTATTCCTGAAAGGATTGCTGACAAGAATCCTAGGAGTTGAACCAAGACTGATGTTATACAGTGATTCGTCAAGCTCAAGACAGTTGGTCTCAAGAAAAGGCTTAGGAAGAGCACGCCATTTACAAGTGGACCTTTTATGGATCCAAAGAATTCCGAAGCTTATCATAAAGGCGATAGCAGGTAAGGACAATCCCTCAGACCTAGGGACCAAATCCCTGACACGGGAGAAGATACGAAAGTACATGCTAAGCTTAGGATACACAGGTGAATTTCTGACACCAAGTGATCAAGAAGTTCAAGAAGCTGAAGTGAGAAGGACAAGAACAAGAAGTGTTCCAAGATTCGATGAAAGGATGATTACAAGGATTATCCAGACGGTTACGACCGCAGTGTTGTTATCTTTAGCTGAAGCAAGAAGGTTCGGTGAAGAAGGAGAACAAGGACTGGGAAGAGCAAGTGTAGTTTGCATACTGTTGTGCATGTTCATATCAGCGATTATGCATAAAGTCGCAAGCGCAGCCGTTTTGCTCAAGAAAGAAGTCCTGAAGGAAGAAGAAAAAGAAGAAGATAGGACAAGAGCAATGGCAGATGACGACGCAGTCAAGTATATGATCACAGATCGCAGCAGAAGCATCGAGGCTACCACTTACCTCGAAAAAGTGCTCAAGAGAGAACGGTCACAAAGACCAAGCGCTGATGACCTCTGGAAGGAGGTAGAAGCGATCAATCAGCAGTACGAAGTCAAGACTACTGACAAGAAGAAGGAAGAAAAGTCAGAGAAAAAGGAAGAAAGTGAAGCAGCGTCGGATCCAGAGTCCGATGAGTCCAAGGAAAGCGATTCAGCAGATAAAGATGATGAAGAAGAAGCGCCAGAAGACAAGGAAGAAGAAGATGTGGAGACGTTCAAGAAAACTGCAGAAGAATTGGCAGAAGAAGCAGAAAGGTTGAAGAAATCGCAAGAGGCTAACTTCGCAGCGTTGAAGCAAGGAACTATTCGGATACCAGAACACTTCCAGGAAAGGATAAGAGAGCAAGGAGAGATCATGGATGAGAAGCTGCAGCAGCTGGAAGAGATGAAAGCAGCAGCCAAGGAAAGAAGAGCAGAAGTTAAAGCAGAAGCGGACATCGTCGTGGAGAAGAGAGAAGAAGAAAAAGAGAAGCCAACGGAGGAAGAAAAAGAGAAGCCAAAAGGTGAAGGAAAAGCTAGAAGAAGAATGGTGAACAAAAGAATTTCAGGAGCTTATGTGGGCACATTTGTATGGATGCTGTACATTCATGGAGTAACCGCAACCGCAGGTATTTTGGCCCACAGCAAAAGAAGTCAGGAAGCTGTAGCCACAAGCAGAAGAATGGAGGAAGTGATGGACATCCTGATGATCACGCTAAGTGTTATGGGAGTAATCTTCCTCATCCAACAAGTGATAAAAGGGTATAAAGTTTTGTACAACAAGCTGAAGATCAAAAGGACTGGCGAGCCAGTCTACGTTTACCCAACAAGACACGTATATCATAAACGGTCTTGCAAGTGGTGGAGCCCACCGCCGGCTACACAAGAAATGTTTATCGGATAAAGGATGCAGGTCATGCTGGGTATGTCACCCAGAGGACACAGAAAGCCGCGGTGAAAGCCCTCAAGTTCGACAAGGCAGAATGCAGAAGTATGCACTGCAATGTGCGACTGGTGCGGCGAAAGTCGTTGCGCCCGCAACAAAAGGAACCACACGACCCATAGCTGTGTGGAATGCATCCGCGATCACGCGGAGGTCACCTGGCGAGAATGGTATGATGTTGACGAAAGCACAGAAGATGCCCAACGACCAGAAGCAGAAGTGACCAATAGCAACAATAGGCCAGAAGAGCTCACAGAAGAAGAATGGGACCAGATGACGTTTGCACAAAGAAGAGAAACGCTAGAAGTCATGGGTCAACGTGAGCTGGATGGAACAGAACGTTTAATGTTTGAAGCGTTCGTTGCTGGATCCCAACAGAGGGCAGAAGAACTAACTCCAGCACTGGTTCGAGAACTACAAGAAGAAGAAGATCAAGGCCTTGATACACTTATTGAAGAAAGGTCAAGACTCAGTCAAGACAGACGAGAAGGCACATGTGATGGAATAAGATTTAGGTCACGCAGTGAGGATGGAAATGAGGATAGATCAAGACTAAGGCGACGGATCCAAGCAATAAGTTCTACTATGACAAGACCTGTTGATCCGGGAGCACCGGACAATACAGAAGAAGCAGCCCAAGGATGAGTGCGGTTTAAAGAAGAGCAAAAGAGCGTGAGGGCGTTTACAATGCCCAGCAAGAAAGTGAGGCTGAAATCAGCCAAGGCAAAACGTTTCACCAAAAGCAAAAGTCGCATGGGACATTGCGGCAGAAGCCACGAGGATGGAAATCCCACGGCAATGACAGAAGCCACGAGGATAGAAAAATCCCACGGCAACGACAAAAGCCACGTGGATAAAAAGATCCCACGGCAACGTCAAAGCACTACGAGCACCACGATGAATTCAAAAGTCAATGTTCGCAAAAGGACTAATGACAGAAAGTCCGACAGAAGTTTCCAGATTGCCGAAGGGCAAGGATGGACTACGACTACATCGCGGATCGCGACGTAAAGAAAAAGTGAGTGTGCATGTAGATTGGAGTGAGTCCATGCCAAATGTGTGTGGAAAGCAAATTCGCAAATCTGCTATAGGACATCTGAAGATTGAGGATGAAGACCAAAGGAAGAAAAGGAAAAGATGTTCAACAAGTGCTCAAAGAAGCGTGCGAGAAGAGAAGATGAAGCTAACAGGAGCATGCGAAAACTGTGGTAGAAGTAGCAAAAGTTTCACAAGGATCACGTGACACGACAAAGCTGTGTACGTGATGAGGGCGTAACAGAATGTTCAATTTTCCCTCATGCCCAATTTACCACAAGTTTCACTGCGTATCTCCGTAGGTCAAGCGTAGGCTCAAGACAGCCTGACAGCAGAGCGTAGCGTGAGAAAAGATTCAGAAGCTCGCGCCGTGCTGTAACAAGGATACTGGTTTAAGGGTTTAAACTTTCATTTCTGTTTCCGGCACTTGACGATGACGCCGAGCTGATTCGGCCACTTGAACCGATGAGTTACCCTTCATGCTTGCGCTGGTTGCGCTACTACTTGCAGTTTCCTTGGATGGGGTCTCCTCCCTCGGTGCCCGTATCCAACTATACGGTGCACTCCATGAAGTGTAGCCTCTTAAGTTATATGCTTGAGGTGCCAGACATCCGCGGCCCCGACAGGGACGCCCAAGGACATCATAGGGGGAGTAGCAGGGAACTTTATAGCAGAGACGATGTGCTGGGGGCGCTCCGCGCTCAGACACAATTGAGGTCAGCAGTCCTGGCGGGCTTTCGCCCGAGGACGCCATTGCACCGTGGAGCACAGCTCCCCATGGCACCGATCCCCTTCACGTTGGAAGCCTTGAGTAAAGAGATTGATCCTGCACCCTGGGGTTTCTTCTCCTTCGATGTTGCTGTCCCTGGATCGCTGCCCTGGGTTCCCGGACAATCTTCTGCATGCACTGAGGTCACTCCCGCTTTGGAGGAAAACACAATTGCTGCCGGGCCCTCTTTGCCCGACTCTGCATCGGAGGCTGGGTCTGAGTCCAGTCTCGAGTCCGAGGCAGGGCCCGAGTCACTCGGCCCCCCAGAGGTCGCCGCAACAGGCGTTGTGCATGCAGCATGCCCGTCAGGGGAAAGGACACTTTGTGGCATCGGTATGTCGGCCCACGTTGGCAGTCGGTCCACTCGCTCAATGCCAAACATGTTCTCTGCCGGCGAACCGCCTGTGTCAACGCATTCGCAGCTCTGGAAGCCTAGTGAAAGTGCATCTTGAAGCTTTTGTCTTTGGTCGGTCTGCGCTCGCATTTCAGCTTGCACATGTTTCTTCATGCATGCCACATTCTTTGAATTGAGCCTGCCAGGACACTGGTCTCCTCTCGCATCCGTCGCTTCAGGCCCGAACTGTTAGTTTTGCTAGCCTCTGCTCTCGCACCATGGTTGATGCAATGTTCGACGATAAATCCGTGGATGGATCATTCAATCTGGTGAATCCTTCACCCTGCCAGCTTAAAGCAGAAGGAGCCTCGGGCTTCCATCAGCTCCTTCAGAATCACGGCATCAGCCAGGAGCTCACGGATCGGCTGCTCGCCGACGGTTGGGATGCGAAAACTTTTCGCCATGTTGTCTGTCAGGAATCAGAGCTTGCGGGGGTCCTCCCTGAGATGTTCCCGGACACTGAAGTGTCCTTGATGCAGCGTGCCAAGCTGCGAGCCGTGTGGTCGTCGCTGCAGCGACGGAGCAATGCAGAGACTGCCCCTGCAGAACCGTTGGGTTCCCCGGCCAAACAAGGCTCGGGCTGGTCGGAAGCCTTCGCCCCTAAGCTTGATGCCTCACGTGTTGCCACGCTTAAAAACGATTCTTGGAATCCTTCCCTTCCGAAATCTTGACTGCCATAAACACCCCATCGCTTCGCCTCCTGCGCACTGCTGTGGACGCTGAGGTTAAGCGGAACTGGTCCTGGATCCCGTGGAAGAGCCGCGTGACACAACAAATGTATGAGGATTCCTACATGCAGAAGCCCGCCAAAAGGGCCAGGATTGAGACCCTTCAGCTTTCGGACCTCTTACTTGACGAACCGCCGCAGATCGACATCAATGACTCCACAATCCGTAGACTGTTGGAGGTGCATGACGATGCCCTCGCTCTTGCTGGTACCGCGCACCTCGCGCGCCTTAAGGCGTACACTTCTAAGTTCTTGAGCCTGGTTGTGCTGGAAGCTCAGCAGGCGGACAAGCACCTTTGGTCGTGCATCTTTCAGTTGGTGATCGAGAATCAGTGGCAGGTGAACGACGCTATCTACGAGTTCACAGAAATCCGCGGTGACATGTCATCATGGCTGCTGCAGCCTCGCGCCAAAGCGGCTTCTGCCAACAATCGTAGGCCGTACACGCCAGGTGGCCGCGACAACCGCCCACCCACCCCGCCGCCAGGTCGTGGCATTGGCAAAGGCAAGGGGAAGGCCAAAGGCTCCACCAAGCAAGGCACCCAGCCTAGGGGCGTTCAGTGGGTTCGTGAGTTCAAGGAGGGCAGCCAGGTGAAGAGATTGTGCATAGGGTGGCAGATCGGGAAATGCCAGCGTGGAAATTCCTGTGAGTTCACGCATGGCGGCGCTTTCCCCAAGCCCGATGGCTCACCCTGCCTCAGCAAGGATCATGGTGCACCACAGCATCCGGATAAGTGACACCAGGCGCTCGATTCGCCACCAAGGGGTGATCCCGAATCAATCCACAGCTGGGGGGAGCTGCCTGCTCCCCCGCCACTGCCCCCTTCTGTTCCGCCATCGCAACAGCAAGCTCCCCAGAGCTCGCAAGTTTTGGATTGCAGCTTTCCGCCACTGCCGCCACAGCTCTTTTCTGCCGATAGTGCAGTTTCCGTGTCACCGCCTCATGAGGCCGTTCCCTCCGTGCATCATTTTGCTCCAGTGCCCTCGGAGGACGTTCCACCTTCCTCATGCACTTCAAGCACTTCAATTTCGCCGGTGCCGCCTATCAGCGACACTGCTTTTTTGGGTTGCGCGCTAGAATTTTCTAATTTCTGTGGGCCCGCCTTGGAAGGCTTGTTCGATTGCATTTTGTGCTCACTGCGGGAAGCCCCTTGGCCCCAACAGGTTCGCCGCGCTCACATCATCTCCGGAGCCTCCGCTGACTCAGGTTATTTTAATTTCGGGGTTCAACTTTCTAGGCGTTCTTTGCTCACTCAGGTTACCTCTGCCCTGCCTGAACTTTGCAGGGACCTGAATGCCCTCTTCAGGTACCTCTTTCCAACGGAGCACTGGAACACTTTGTGTGTTTCGCGCAACGGCCTCAGTGCGCTGCATTCCGACTCAGCCAACATTCCGGGCTCACGCAACTTGTCACTTTCACTGGGCGCCTTCTCAGGTGGTCATCTGTGGATTGAAGACCTCTCCTGCCTCTCACGAGGCCAGCCGACATCAATCGCATCCGGCTCGGGCTGGCTGCATGGCTGTGCCATCGACACGCATCGAAAAGCCATCAGCTTCGATGGCCGCATTAGACACATGACACTTCCGTTCTCAGGTGAGCGTTGGGCCCTCACGGCCTTTTCACTGCCGGGAGTCTGTTGTAGTGATCTTGAGTTCTTGGGTTTTCCCTGGCCGCCCCCACTTGAGTCCGATGCCCTGCCTTCTCCCCTCTTGGGTTTTAGTCCCGCCCTAGATACATCAGCTTCCCCCGCCCGCCGGGCTCGAGGATGCAACTGCTGCTTCGCCATGCTCGCCTGCATTACTGCCCCAGCATCCCAAGACCCCCAGCAGCACCCTTTAGGCTGCCGCTTGGATGCAAATTCTGGGGGCAACGCTCTGCATCGGGCACCTTTCGCTCCCATAAGCTGCAGGTCCCTCGCCCCCTCTCACCGCCGGATGACTCCTGGCGCGCTGACCGCTGCAGATCATCTCTCCTGGCTCGGTGATGCGAGCATTCAGCTCAGCAGAGCTGTGCGCGCTTCAGGCGGCGATTCCCTCACCCTATAGACCCCTGCCTTGATCCCGCCCTTGACATCCTTTGCCCAGATCTCCTTGAACAGGTCCTGTTCTTGTGTGGGTCGGGAGCGGTTGCCTACCTCGCGGCATCGCCCCTGACTGCGTCAGAAAGCTCACCTGATCAGCCAGGCCCTTCCTCATGGCTGCTGTCTGCCATGCACGAGCAAACAATGGCGGCAAAGGTTTCCCGTTGCACCTGGCTTCTCAGCATTGTGCACACTGCCGGGGGTCACGGGCATCTCGAAATGCCCCCCGATGCCACCTTCTGGTCCTCCTCGCGCCCACAAGACGGGTTGCATCAGGGCAGCTGTGCTCTCATTTTGGTGCCTTCTTTGCTGCGTGCAGGTTTGGCCACTCCGACCCAACCCCTATGGGCCGCTTCCTACCGCCCTCTGTCTATCCTGGCAGCCGACTTGTACGCAACCGCGCTCCCACAAAGCGGTCAGGCGTACGCATCTTCGTTCGCCAGTATCGCTGCCGCTCTGCTACATGGGGAAGGCCGCGAGCTCTCCTTGCAGTCAGCCGAGGCTGCCATTCCACGCAAAAGCCTCTTTACTGGCCCGCACGCCCTCCACGATGGGGCGGGAAAATGCTCCATGGCTGATTGGAGCAGCCCGGCATTTGCAGATAAACTTCGTGGCTTACGGAAGGCAATGTTGCAATTCTGCATCTCCCTTCGTGCCGACAAGCGCTTGCTTGCCAGAAGCTCATGCCCATCGCCGGAGCCGCTCTTCAGCGCCACTGGTGCGCCTTTGTGCTATCAGTGTAGGTCAGTGGCAGGCGAGGCATGAGCAATTTTGGTCCCTTGTTCCTAAAAGAAGGGGAGATTTTGTTTTGGAGGCCGAGCCGCTTCTGTGACAGGAGCCTTCGTGTTCCGCGAGAGACGAAATGTGGAGCCTTCGTGCCCCGTTGCCTATAAGGGTTCGCCAGGGTCGGTTTGAGGGCTTATGCGCACCCGAGCATGATTTTTGTGGGTTTTTCTCGTATTTGGGCACACTGTAGACCAAGTCCCTACAAAACTGGTTCCCATATAAGGATGGGTAAGCAGTGGTTTTGAGCGATTTAGAGTCGTTTATTCGGGGAAATGACCCGCTTGATTTTCGGGTTTAACCGACCCGGCGAACCCTCATACCGTTGCCAGTGAAACCACTCGCAGCAGACGTTCCTGTCATGACCTTTGTGTCCTGCGTAGTGAGTGACTGAAGTGTTGTCGGTGAAAGTAGTCGCCGTGTGTGCTGTGGTTCAGTGCAGTTTTGATTCAGGTACTTGGAAGCATGGGCCAACAAACACATGAGGGAACAGAACACATGAGCAAGTTGCATGTTGTAACTACTTAGTTTGGCATGCTGAGGGACTGACATGTCTGTCTTTGATTGCTGTTAGGAGTTCCCGCTGACTGGTAGACGCCTGTGTAGGTAGAGTGTGTGCGCATGGCCTGTCAGGAGTGTCATTGACAAAACGCAAGCCGCAACACTTGCTGCTTCTTATCAAGTGCGTCGTTGGGAAATCCGGCCATCCCGCAGCTTCAGGGGTGCATCTGAGAACCCCTAGCCACAGCAAACAGCTTGTCTTGTCTGGTCTGGAGTTTTGCTGAAGAGCTTTGCAGCGCCGCGCAGCTTGCCTCGCCAGGGCCGCATTCGAGGCCTTGCCATAGCACACAGCTTGTCGTGTCGGGGGTGCCTTAAAAGACCTGGTGTTCTGCAAACATGTCTGTAGACTCGGAAGTTGCCTTTAGATCGAGAGCGGAGGCCATTGGGGTCCCGAAAGCATACTTGGATGCTTTGTGTGCCAAGGGCGTTAACAAATTCTCAGCCTTCGCCTTCGTGTCGTCGTATCAGCCGAATGCACCAGATGAAACGCCGTTCATCAAGTCGCTAACTTCTTATGTCGTGCCAGCATTGCGCCGCCTGTTTTGGGAGTCCCACACCCTCGCAGTGCAAGACATGAGTGACTGAGTGACAGGTTTGAGGCCAGGCCATCGCAAGAACCGAAGAAGCTTTCCATGCCAGATCGCATCGACAGCCTTAAAAGGTTGAAGGCTTCGCTGCCGGGTCTCACGATAGACACGGTGATCGAGCCATCTCATGACCTAGTAGATTAGTAGACCGATTCGTTGCTCAGGCTGAGGAACAGTGTTTTGCTCCGGTGGCGTTGTCGCTTTGCACGTCGCGTGAGACGGAAATGAGGGCAGAGAAAAAGGATCCAATTGCGATGAGTAAAGAGGGGGGATGCTGAAAATCACCAAATCGAGCCCAGCGCCGAGTGCCGAGCTGGGGTCAGAGCTTCATGTACGGTCCTGTATGGTGAGGCGCGCCCTGGCCATGCATATGGCGGGACCCTCTTCTTTCACTGAGGTAGATCGTTGGGTGTCGAAATTATTCGGCTTCATGCTCAAGCCAGCCTTGAACAATCACAAGCCGCCTTCCCTTCAACAGATCATCGAGGCTGACAGAACGGTGTGGATGTTGGTTGCGCAAAGAACCCGCGGTGAGGTTCTGACTTCAGGGTCGCCGAAGCCTGTGGATGCAGCGTTGGCAGCGGTGCAGGACAGCCCTGAGGTAGCATTTTGCCTCCTCCCGCGGGGAGGTGGGGGCAAAGGCAAAAAGAAGTGCAATGGGAGGGATTCGAGTTCCGACACAGGCCCGCCCAAGAAACAGAAGAAGAAAAAGAAGCCCCAGAAGGAGGAGGATCCCAAGAAGCCGAAAGACGGAGATGAACCGAAGAAGCCGAAGGTTGACACACCGGCAGGCGCCCACATGAAAGGTCCGGATGGGAAGCCGAATTGCTTTGCGTATAGCAGGGGCACCTGCAAGTGCCAGGACAAAGAGAAGTGCGGCAGAGGCATGCACAGGTGTTGGTTTTGCCATGGGAGCCACCCCGGCAAAGACTGCCCGACCCGCAAGTCGGAGTGACAATCGCAGGAGCCCCGCGTCGCGTCGCCGAAGCAGTGTGCGACCGTGGCAGATGCATGTGTGTTTGAAGTCCGTGGCATTCGCGTCGAAGTGCCAGCAGTGAATTCACTTGAGCCGATAAGTTTTGCAGTAAAGCCAGCTGAACTTTTGTGTGTAGAGCTGTTTTGTGGGTCTGCGCGACTGTCCAAAGCTATCGTGGAGGCCGACTTGAACGTTTTTGGCAATCGACAAGGTTGCCCACGCAAAGCAGGTGTCAGTCACTTGCCTCGACTTGACAACGATCGATCATCAGAGAGTGTTGTTTGAATTGCTTGTGCAAAGCCAACGTGGCCAGCATCCACAGTGCGCCACCATACGGAACGGCCAGCCTGGCCCGCGGGATTCCCATGGCTACTGCACCGGGGACGCCTGTTCCCAAACCCTTAAGATCCGTGGACGACCTCTGGGGGTCCAGGCTGCCAGTGACGAAAGTGGACAAAACTCGGGTTCAGGCTGCTAACACATTGTACGTGGTGACGGTGCTAGCAGCGGCAATAGGGGTTCGTAGGGGTTCCTTGGTCTCCGTCGAAAACCCTTCGAGTAGCCACTTTTGGGGTCTAGCGGAGGTTATTGCTTGCGAGCTTGGGCTTACCGCTGAATGGAGCACTCTGTCACCCACCAAATTCCACGCGTGCATGTGGGGTTCCTCCAGGCGTAAGCTTACAACATTCCTTGCGTCGCCGGGGCTCGCTGCTTTTTTGGCGAAAGAATGCGACGGGAAGCACGAGCATAAGCCATGGACCCCAACCACTAAGGATGGGCACCCGCATTGTCCCACTAGTGAGGAAGCTGCTTACCCAATAGAGTTGTGTAAGGCCCACGCCCTAAATCTTTCATCGCAGCTTCTTAAGAAAGTTGTCAAGGCACAGGCGCCGAACTTGAAGCCAGACGCTTTGGGAGCCCGAGATCTCCGACAGTTCACTGCAAAGCGTGTTCCGCCGCTCTTGGGTGAATATTGGTTGATAGGCGGGCCCCATCTTGAGCAGTTTTACTCCGACAGATGCAAGCAAGTGCAAAGGTCGTTCCTTATGGGGAAAACTGGGGAGGATGTGGAGGAGCCAGACAATCATGAAAGTGCAGCCAAAATTGAGTGTCAACATGCGGAGACGCCAGGGACGGTGTTTTCTATGCCGCAGGATACCATGCAGCCTTTGCTTGGAGTGTACAGAACTCCTGTGCAAGCAATACGAGCATCACTGACTTTGAAACACCCGCTGGAGTTTGCTACGCCAATTCCTGACCTCCTGACGAGGTGCGTGGTGGAAGTCTTGAACATGGGTCCGGCTGCATTGGCAAGATTGCGGAGAGAGAACTTAGCCTGGGTCTTGGAGCGGAGGGAAGCTTTGGCAGCAAAGGAAGCTCAGTTGCACGAGACCTTGCACCCTGACATTGCCACTTGTTGCTTGTGGGAGGAGCTCCTCTCGCATACCTGCTTTCCTGACGACATTGAAGTAGTAGGGCCAGCAGATTGGTCGCCGGTTTTCAATCGGGGATACAGCGCTCCTGAGTTAACCGAAGACCAATGGTTAGCTCAGGCTGTTTGGAGGCGCAAGGCTGCGGTGGCAGCTTGCAAGCCCGACGAGGACCAAGACCTTGCCGAATCTTTGTGGCAGCAAACATTGGAGGAAGCTGAAGCAGGTTGGATCAAGGGACCATTCTTTTCCGAAGGAGAGGTGACCGCAGAACTTGGCGTAGCTAACTGGGTTTGCACAAAAAGATTTGCCATTAGACAAAATGATAAAGTAAGGGTCATAGACAACGCAAAAGCTTCAGGGATCAACGCCGCGTTCTCAACGTACAGCAAGCTGCAGCTGATGGACGCAGACACGTTGATATCCTTGTTTCTGCTTGTGGTGCGGTGTGCATTTGCCGGCGCTACTTCGAAAGTTATTTTGTCTGACGGTGAAGTACTCGAGTGCATTCCACATCCATCGTGGAAGACCAACCTCCACTTGGTAGGCCGCACGCTGGACCTTACGGCTGCTTACAAGCAGATGGGTATGAATCCCAGCAGGCCTCAAGTGCGACCGCTAGTTGTGTGGTCGCCGCGACACCACAAACCAGTATACTTCGTAGCCACCTCGCTAATGTTCGGCACGACTGCGAGCGTATACTCGTTCAATCGTGCTGCTCTCTCACTGTGGCATCTGGCGATTTCTCTGGGGAAGCTGCGGGTCACTTGTTACTTCGATGACTTTCCTGGGATTGAGCCGAGCATCACTTCGAAGTCTGCCCGTTCCTTCTTTGAAGGGTTGCTTCCTTCGTGTAGCTGTGCTACATGTGAGCACTTGGATACAGAAATTTCACACCCGCCCGCCCTCCCCATAATACCATGGCGTTTGTGGGGGGGTCGAGATTGAGCGAGGGCCTTCGTGTCCTGTGCAAGAGCCTTCGCGCTACGCACATTTGCAATCTTGATTTCCTTTGACGACGGGCCGCGCTGTAGCCTTACGTGAATCCTTGAACGACCCCGTTGGCCACAGGCCTTGGGCAAGCGTGAAAACAGTGTGTGCTGAGAGTGTCCGTGCGAAGTGATTGCCTTAAAGATATTGTGAAGAGTGATTTTGAAATAGCGGAAGCATTTGGATTGAAAGATAATTGTGATAATACTTTATCTTTACATGCTTGATTTTCTTGGTGTCCCGCGACACTGCACCGTTGCGAGATGAGCACTAAATACTCAAGGAACTGGCTGCAGGCAGTCAGATAGGTTTCCACTTTGTGTGAGCAATTGCTCGGAGAACTTGGCGGTCTGTAGGCTGCAATAGAGCGAGATCGCTTCTCTAGTGGCTACAAGAGCTCTTTCCACGCCTTGTAGTTTTGACTTCTCCGACTAACTT